GTTAAAATAATTGTTTATTAATTTAAAGTGTATATTATACAATATGTAAGATATGTATCAAGTTATAATGAAAATATCGATGAATAGTGATTAAATAAATTTATTGATTATCAATATTGATGCATAATTGATAAACATCTAATAATCGATATATACCGATATTGGTTAATTATCGAGAAATAATGCATTTATCGATATATAGCGATATTTTTCTAATGATATATATCAATATAACGATATATATTGATATATATTTAGTAATAAAATTTCCCGATGATATATATATAATTGTTATCTTACAGAAATCTTATATTATTTGGTTTTTCAAACAATAGTATAGTAACAAATAGTTATCACAACATGAAAGGCATTTGAAACTGAGCCACTTCATACATAGTTTTATAATACATTCATTCTGATTCTATAAGTTTTCATTTTAATGTGCTATCTTTGAACATTGAATATTGGTAACCATTAATTATTTTTAAATCATTAAATGAAGTAGCTCCTTTAACATTGTTGAGAAGTATATGTAAATAATAATGTTCTTCTTCGATTGAATTAACTGTATATATTCTTTCTATCATTTTTTCCTGGTTATGTTTTGTCTATTTTTTTGCTATTTGATTCTATACATAATAGCATAAGAACTTGAGATATGTATAATTTTTTACTTTAGTATCAATTTTGTTCATTTCAAAATATTTAGTTAGCATAGTTTTTTGATTTTGTTTATTTGTAAGTACATTGCTCAGGTTGGATTTTTCTGAAAATGTTATGTTTTGTTGGTCAGAAAGGTGTATTTGCAAATAAATTACAGAAGGATATATGTGTGACATGTCAAATCTAAAAATTCTTCAACATGCTTTAAAAGCTGAAACTCATTAACTATCTAGATACTAACTAATCTCATCTCTGTTTGAAATTTCTAAGGATGCATGATTGTGTTCTTTATATATATATTTATATAAATATTTGACTGATTTAATGCTAGAGCATATTTCAATGTTTATATAACAATTATATTTGAGCAACATGTAGGGATTATATGGAACAATCTAACAATTATCCAATTTTATATTTTTAATTATTATATATCTATTATTATTTTGCCTGTGATATAAAGGATTTGAGTCATTACCTTCTTGTGTTTCTTGAATAAAATTTTTCAGATAATGTTTAGCATATATGCCTTTCTTTATACATAATGCATCATGATTAAAAGATCTACATGGATCATAAATTATAAAAGAGGTAACTGTTTCGAATAATCTGAGTTGTTTTATTAGGTCTGGTATTTCTGCAAATACAAATATATCATAATTATCAGCTTTACAAAGCTTGTCTTCTGAATTAAATATCAATAATAAATGCACATGCAGAAGTCCACATTTCTGGAACTCTACTACATGCATATGTGCAATTATACGACCAAAAATGCCTTTGATATAAAGATCTTTTTTAAGTTCTTCTAATTTTGCTTTAAAAATTTGAGCTATATATGTATAAACAATAAATTATTTTTGTAGTTAAATTTATTTAATTTAAAATATATTTTTATTTTTTTTCGATAATAAATTTTTCAGGAATTATCTGTAGACAAAAGTTATATTTTATCTGTAAGATCTGGTCTTTCTTGTGGGGTTTGCATTAACATTAATTCTAATGTAATTTTGGACCACCAAGGATTATATATAATAGTGATAAATAAATCAGGCATTTCATACACTTGTACTAACACCATTGTGTTTTGATATCTCTGATACATGTCACAAGGACCTCTTATAAAGGATGAAGGTAAAACAATGTGGTGTCTCACTTCTAATATATCATTTAATCTGGATTTGAAGCAATCTTTTAAGTCTTGATATACTTCTTTACATATTTTATTTTGTGTAAATCGTAAGTAATTAAGACATGCATATTCTATCTTAACATAATTATCAATGACATATGTTGAAAAGTTGACCACCCAAAAAAAGTATGGCAAATAGTTCACAAAAATGCAATTTATATGCATAATATTGTCTGACTGTAACTTTTTTTGTGATTTGTATTGTAATATATTTGAATACCAACCATAATCACCTTGAGGGAAAAATAATGAATATTGCATTGGGTCATATGACCCTCTTAATTCAGAAATTCTTATTAAACCTTTAGATTGTAATTGTACAATTATATCATGTTCAGCATATTCTATAGAGTTATTACCTTCCATCTAGACAGCAACAATCTGTGAGGCTGTCAGTTTGTTGTAAACATGTTGGTCTAAACCATGATCAGCTCTTATAAACAAGCAAAATTCAACTATATTTATATAAGATGATATAGAATGAAAATTAATAATGAAAGGATTTAACTAATTCAACATTAATTTGATAAATTCTAAAATATCTTGACAAAATTGAGGCATAACATAAAGTCTATTAGCTGTTTCAAATTCAGTATTATAAATGTATAATTGGAGAAATTTCAGTATTCCATCTATCGGAAGCAAAGATCCAATTAAGTAATAAATTCCACCTTGTGCCCTAAATGTGTAAACTCCATCTTTACCTATAAAAAAGTTACTACTTAGTCAAATATAGGAGGTTTTTTTTAAATTAAATCTTAGTTATTATTTGCAAGTTTTTCATCTAATTTTATACCCATCGAAGTAAATGCAAAAGTACTATTGTAAACTCTAATATTTACATAAAAATTTTTCCCTATATTATTGCATCTCATATATAAATTTCTTAGTTCTATAATATTGTCTGTCGATGCTAGTCTATAATTTATGTATTAGTAACATTTAGTAGTAATCAATTAATAGTTATAAATGATACAATGTCCAGACTGTTCAATAGTAATAATTAA